GCTGAGGGGGCAGGGGGTTGAGTTACAGCCTTCACTACAGTGCCTTCTTAAGTTCTTTTCTCCTATCCATTTCCCTCCCTTCCCCATTTGACCCCCCAGTCACCTTCTTCTCTACTTAGTAGTCCTCATTTGTCCTCACATACACTACTGTTACGCTATGTTCTAATACATACGCACAATAATTTTGTCATACTGTAGCTACAGCTGCTTGGAGAATCCCCATTACTTGAATCAGAACTATGGCCCAAGCACAGTAACTGATGAAATCTTCACACAGCCCTAAGGTGGACAATATCATCCTCACTTTCCAGATGAACTGAGCTTCAGAGACAAGGTCCAGTGGCCAGCCCTCAAACCAGGTACTGTCAACTATGCACTACTGTCTCTGGCTGGGAGAGAGTTTTAGGGTCAACAAACTGCCCTTATTTTCTTCTTTTCCATTTGATACTTTCTCTTCTTGTTTATGTTTTTAAATAAAAGTAATGCATACACATGGTGAAAAAATGTCAAACAACACAAAATCAAAACTCCCTTATCACCCCTGTTAACATCAATTGTCAATAATTCTTAGTTTTAGTTCTAACAACTTAAAAAATGCAACACACATACACACACACACACGTTTCTAATTTACACAAAGTGATCTTATTCTGTGCTGTTTTCTAAATTGCTTTCTTTCCCTCTTAATATCTGAGATTTTTTTTCTTATCAGCACTATATGAAAACCTCAAATAGTTTCCTGTCACACTTAAAATAAAATCCAAAGTTCTCACTTTGACTATCACAGTCTGATGCTAAAACTCAACAAAGATATTACAAGAAAGAAAAATTGTAAGTCTGTGTCACTTATGAACATAGATGTAAAAATCTTAAACAAAATAGTAGTAAACCAAACCTAGCAATATGTAAAAGGGATAAAATACATCACAACCAAGTTGGGTTTATTCCAGCAATTGCAATGTTAATTTAACATTCAGAAATCTGTCTATGTAATCCACACATTAATAAAGGGAAAAAAAAACATGATCATCTTGTAGAGAAAGCCATTTGATAAAATTAAACACATTCATGATAAAAACAAGAATAGAAAAGAAGTTCCCTAACTCATAAAGGGAATCTACAAAATCTACGGTGTTAGAAGTCAGGACAGCGGTTGATTCTCCATAAAGGACAAGAGGGGGACTTCTGGTGGTAATGGCTATTTCTTGATTTGGTTGCCTGGGTGTCATTGCTTTGTGATAATTAAACTATACACATATGAGTTGTACACTTTAGAGTATGTGTATCATACTTAATTTTAAAAGGTTGTAAAAAAAATGGGGCAGCTGCTGTGGCCGCTTCTGCAAAGTCTAAGCACTGGTCTGTATGCCGCAGCCATGTCCTATGCCAGCAGGAAGGGAAGGATGGAATCATACTTGTGACCAAAGATGACCATAAAACTCCAAGCAATGTAGAGCTGGTGGCTGATGACCCCAATGATCCATACTCAGTACGGATTGATGCTGCCAAATGAAGACATTAACTGGAACTGCCCATGCCTTGGGGGCATGGCCAGTGGTCCCTGTGGGGAACAGTTCAAGTTGGCCTTTTTCTGCTTCCACTATAGTGCAGGGGATCTCAAGGGGAAAGACTGTGTAGAACAATTCTGGGTCATGCAGGAATGCATGTAGAAATACCTGCACCTGTATCCCCAAGAGGATGAGGAGGAGGAAGAGGAGAAGTCAGCAGAACACATAGAAGAAACTGCTCCCACTGAGGCCACTGCAACCAAAGAAGAGGTGGGGACAAGTTAATGAAGGCCACAAGGCACTGGGCTCCAGTCCTTCCACTACAGAGTGATATAGGCCTTTTGCACAGTGCCTTTCAGTCACCCCCTGTTGGGAGAACCCACCCCCAATATTTGAACATAGGTTCTTTCTATTTTCCATAAGTGTTGGCTGGCTGAGAAATAAAGAGTATAAAGAGAGGAATTTCACAGCTGTGCCACCGGGGGTGACATCACATATACATAGGACTATGATGCCCTCCTGAGCCTCAAATCAGCAAGTTTTTATTAAGGGTTTTAAAAAGGGGAGGGGGTGTAAGAACAGGGAGTAAGTACAAAGATCACATGCTTCAAAGGGCAAAAAGCAGAACTACTAATAAGGGTTTAAGAGAGATCACAAGGCAAAGGGCAAAAGCAGAACTACTGATAAGGGTCTATGTTCAGTGGTGTACGTATTATCTTGATAAATATCTTAAATAACAGAAAACAGGGTTCGAGAGCAGAGGACCAGTCTGACCATAAATTTACCAGGGCAGAGTTTTTCCCACCCTAGTAAGCCTGAAGGTACCACAGAAGACCAGGGCGTATCTCAGTCCTCATCTCAACTGTATAAGACAGCCACTCCCAGAGCAGCCGTTTACAGACCTCCCCCCAGGAATGCATTCCTTTCCCAGGGTATTAATATTAATATTTCTTGCTAGGAAAAGGATTTAGTGATATCTCTCCTACTTGCACATCTGTTTATAGGCTCTCTGCAAGAAGAAAAATGTGGCTCTTTTTGCCCGACCTCGCAGGCAGCCACACCTTATCGTTGTCTTCCCTTATTCCCTAAAAATTGCTTATTCTGTTCTTTTTTAAGGTGCACTGACTTCATATTGTACAAACACACATGTTTTACAATCAATTTGTACAGTTAACACAATTATCACAGTGGTCCTGAGGTGACATACATCCTTAGTTTACAAAGATAATAGGATTAAGAGATTAAAGTAAAGACAGGTATAAGAAATTATAAAAGTATTATTTAGGAACTGATAAATATCCATGAAATCTTCACAATTTTTTTCTTTTTTTGAGACGGAGTCTCTCTCTTGTTGCCCAGGTTGGAGTGCAGTGCTGCAATCTTGGCTCACTGCAACCTCTGCCTCCAGGGTTCAAGCAATTCTCTTGCCTCAGCCTCCCTAGTAGCTGGGATTACAGGCATGCACCACCACGCCTGGTTAATTTTTTGTATTTTTAGTAGAGATGGGGTTTCTCCATGTTGGTCAGGCTGGTCTTGAACTCCCAACCTCAGGTGATCCACCTGCCTCGGCCTCCCAAAGTGCTGAGATTACAGGTGTGAGCCACTGCGCCTGGCCGAAATCTTCACAATTTATGTTCCTCTGCCACAGCTCCAGCTGGTCCCTCTGTTCGGGGTCCCTGACTTCCTGCAACACCCTCCAAGAAAGTGTCATTCCCTCTGTTGTCCTGTGTACTGTAATGCACAAAATAACTTATTTTGATGATCAGGGATCTTGGGCTCTTGACATACACACTGAAAAAAATGGGAGTTGTGTTATGTGTGTCCTACATAAACATGTCAGCAAATGTGGCCACCACTTTTTAATTCTCTTTTCTCACATTGCCCTGTATTTTGCCACTTTGAAGTAATGTGCTGAATAATCTCAGCAACCAAAAATGATTATCCAGGAATGATTCTTTTGAGTGAGCTGATTTACTCTGAGTTATTGTATCTCTTTTAGTAGATTTTATACCCCTTTAGGAAATGTAAGAAGAATGAAAATACCTTCTTTTAAAAATGCTGGTATGGGGCCATGCCTACTAGAAGAGGCCAGATGGTCAAATAAGTATTTCCCCAAACCCATTTTGACCTTGAGTATGTGAGGGGGTACTGTACTTCATTCCTGATACATTTTGTTTTCCATGTTGGCACTGAACTCTTGGTTTTCTGTTTGGACAGTGGAGATGGGGGCCCTCCTATTCATACTTCCTTTCTAAGTGAAGGGAAAGGCTGGTTTTTGCTGTTCCTTGTTATTCCAAAAACCCTGGTTTGGGGCCCATGTTCAGGCTGGCTCTCACGCTGGCTCTCAGCTGGTCAGATGCAATGTTCTTGAGAGGTGGGGACCTGATTGTTACCATAGTAGCATCCAAGAGAGGAAACAGTGTGAATTAAGTATTCAAAAGGAAGCACGATTTCAAAAAAAAAAAAAAAAAGACTTGCAAGGAAAAAAATGTAAATCTTCTTAATCATCTAAGAAGATTAGAGGATACAGCAGCCAGGGACTGGGGAGCTGACAAGGATAAAGGATGAAGATGAGTGGGATGAGGAAGAATTGAGAAGCCTGCTGTTGGGTGGTTATTCAGTTGGCCCTCCACAGCCATGGGTTCCACATCCACAAACTCAACCAACCACAGACCAAAAATATTCTCAAAAATAGATAAATATAAATATGAACAATATGATAATAAAAATAAAGCAATACAATATAGGAACTATTTATATAGCATTTATTTCATATTTGGTATAAGTAATCTAGAGATGATTTAAAGCACACAGGAGGGTGCGCATAGGTTATATGCAAATTCTATGCCATTTTATATAAGGGACTTGAGCATCTGTGGATTGTGGATTTTGGTATCATCGGGAGTCCTGGAATCAATCCTCCATGGATACTGAGGGACAATTGTACATGTGGATATTGATCTGATCCATGGCAGTGTACTGTATTGGAGAGGAAGCTGGTGAGCTATGGGCCAAAGTTTTCAGTGAATGAGAGGGAGTCTCTTGCAGATGAGCTGCAAGGAGAGGTATATGTTCCCAAATGGAGAGACATTCAGGAGCATGGAAATCAAGAGCCTAGATTTCCTCACACTGTAGGTGAGGAAAAACTTTCCCACCATGTATCTTTTATTTCTTTTTGGCAGAGTCCCTCACTCTGTTGCCCAGGTGCCTCCTGGGTTCAAGTGATTATCCCACCTCAGCCTCCCGAGTAGCTGGGATTACAGGTGCCTGTCACCACACACATTTAATTTTTTGTATTTTTAGTAGAGATGGGGTTTCGCTATGTTGGCCAGACTGGTCTTGAACCCCTGACCTCAGGCGATCCACCTGCCTCAGCCTCCCAAAGTGCTGGGATTACAGGCATGAGCCACTATGCCTGTCCTCTTCTCACCTCTGGTTCTGTGGCTGGGCATGGGAATTAAACTAACATAAGACAGATTTACCGGAAAAGACATAAAAGTTTTAATGTTTTTATACATGCACAGGAGACTTTGTAAGAAAAATAAAGACCCGTAGAAGTTACTAGGCCCAAAAGCTTATATGTCCTTTTAAACAAAGAACAATAAATTGCAGGGATGTGACACGACAAAGGGGCTTGGGCTAAGGCTGGCAAATTGTGGGAAAGTGACTAAGAACTGTATGTGGAAAGTTAATGGAAAATATAGGTTACAAATTTTTGTAAGGTTTTGTTTGTAGATTCATCTCAGTGGCAACTCTGCCTCTAGCAATAATACTCTCCTCTTCCTGGTACAGAAAGGGCACCTTTCATAAGGGAACTTTTATGCTCCGCCTCAAACAGAAAGAGGGTGGTCAGAGAGCCTTCCCTGCATCTGTTTTTGCTCCATTGCCCCTGGCTCAGAAGAATCAATATGCCAAAGTGGCATATTTTGGGATGGCAGGCTCTAAACACTTCACCTAGTCTCCTCAACCACTTTTACAGTTGGCCCTAATCCCCATAAGAGTCCTGGAAACTTATTTTTACTGTTACGGAAACAGATTTAGAGCGGGGATGACTGAGCCACAACCCACACCGCAGAGGGCTGCTCCAAAGTCCTCCTCGAAATTGGTGCCAACGGCAGCAGCTATAATGACAGCCAGTTCACATAGAAGTGCCTCTGTTGATCACCAATTAACAGTAAAATCTGATAATATCTCATTCCAAGGTTGTCATAAGCACTAAATGTGGTTTTGTGACATAATAGGCATTTGTTTCTCCCCATTGCTTCCCACCACAATATACTCATCAAGACTTTTCCAAGGATACTAAGTCTAGGAAACCCAGGATCATGAAGAGAGGACATGCTCTTCCAAGTGAGGCTGAGGAGAGACTTGTCTGGCGAGGCCTGTACTGACAAGTGACATTAAAAGAGGCGATCTGACTTCTCATACTGCGCTTGTCCCAGGCCCGCTGTTTGTCAACTGCTGGGTTCTCAGAGCCAAAACTGTTTTCCAACAGTTTTGAATTGAATAACAGCCAGTTATTCAATTTTCTCCACATTCTCTAATCGGTATACTCTTCAGAGTACAAGGGACTTGCAACGATATTACCCAATGGTTGAAGAATGTGCGCTTGACATCTTAGGCTGTAAAATGTCTCAATTTCAATTTCTAAAACATAAATGTCAGTGGATGGCATTTTCTGAATCCCTTGTCGATGTCCGTAAATGGCATGCTCTGAATTCAACTAAACAAAAGTATGGGTTGGGGGGAGATGTAGGGGCATGTCCAAATTATAATTTTTAAGAGTGTAAAGGGGTCCTGAGAAAGATTGCCAGATTTTTTTTTTTTTTTCTTGAGTCAGAGTCTCACTCTATCCTCCAGGCTGAAGTGCAATGGCATGATCTTGGCTCACTGCAGGCTCTACCTCCCGCACTCAAGAGATTGTTCTGCCGCAGCCTCCAGAGTAGCTGGGATTACCCCGGAGCCCGCCACTACTGAGCCTGGCTAACTTTTGTATTTTTAGTAGAGAAGGGGTTTCACCATGTTGGCCAGGCTGATTTCGAACTCCTGAGCTCAAGTAATCCGCCAGCCTTGGTCTCCCAAAGTGCTGGGATTGCAAGCGTGAGCCACCACGCCAGACCTGGATTGCCAGATTTAGCACATAAAAATACAGGACTCCCAGTTAAACTCCTCTCAGATAAACCATTATTGCATGAAATACACTCACGCTAAAAACAATTGTTCGTCGTTTACCTGAAAGTCACATTTCATCGGGCGTCCTGCATTTTACCCCGCAAATTCTAGGCCTGACACCAAAAAGTTTGAGAACCGCGCCCCTAGGCGACAGCAAGCGGAACTACGGCAAGCTCCCAGTAATTCCGGGTGCTGCACTTCCGGTCAGGCGGTCGGGCTGCGCGGCCCTGGGGCCAGCTCACCGCCGGAAGCCTCCGCGTCCCCGACGGCCATATCCCGTTCCCGGTCCTGCTTCCCAGTGCCTCGGGCCTCCGGGGGCTGGTGCTGGGCGCCGAGCCGGCGGAGCCGGCGGAACCCGCTTCCCGCCTCCACGCGGCAGCGCTAGCGGCCTAGTCCCTTCACGGGCAGCTCGGTGCTGTCACCCTCACCGCTCTTCCTATCGCCGGGAGTGGTGGGCCGACCAGGGGGCGGCCGGGCTAGCGTCCGCCATTCCCGTGTCTCTGCGCCCCCGGGGGCCGCCCGAGCCGGCCACCATGCCGCTGGGCCTGAAGCCCACCTGCAGCGTATGCAAGACCACGTCGTCCTCCATGTGGAAGAAGGGCGCGCAGGGGGAGATCCTCTGCCATCATTGCACTGGCCGGGGCGGCGCGGGCAGCGGGGGCGCAGGCTCGGGGGCGGCTGGAGGGACTGGGGGCAGCAGCGGCGGTGGCGGCGGCTTCGGCGCGGCGACCTTCGCCAGCACCTCCGCCACTCCTCCGCAGAGCAACGGGGGCGGGGGCGGCAAGCAGGTGAGCTCCTCCGGCCCCTCCCGCCGGCGGAGGCCGACCGGGCGCTAGGCGGCAGGGGCCGGGCGGGTTGGGAGCTGGCGGGCCCGGGCTTCCCGGCTCGCCGTGGTCCTGCCGGCTGGAACGCCCCTCCCCACCTCCTACTGAGATCTTTGGTTTGACCCATTCCAAAGCACCTGTTATAAGAAATTCAAAGCAATAAGAACCAAAATGTAAAGCCCTTAAGAAAATCTCAATATGTACACGTCTACACAGTCGTAAACAGGGTCATGCCACAAGTGCAGGTGCTGGACCTCATTGCTTGTTAAAGGTTTTGTCATATCAGGTTATGAAGTAAGATTATTATGTCATTATTGTAAATGGCAGCTTAAGTATTCAGTTGTAGGAGGCGCCATAACCTAATACGTTATCTGGCTTTAGGGAGTAAAGTTGTTAAGTGTTTTTCTCTATTGTAGACACAACAAATGAATAGTGTTTGTCTTGGCCCAGACTGACTCTTACTTCCGCCTCCTGACCTATTACAAGCAGCTCACACCTTTTGGAGGCTCTGGAGACGCGTGTCCAGCGAGCTCCGAGATTACGGTGCTGAACTTCCGGTTTTACTTAGCCCAGTTGCTGAAATTACCTCTGTTGAAAAGCAAAGGCGCACTCTTAATTGTTAAATACTCCTATAAAGTACATACTCTGGGATCCTTGTAAGATGATTGTATTGCAACCTTTACACACTTTTTACTTCTTTCTCTCTCCTTTAATTTGTTTGTGTAACAGAGTAAGCAGGAAATTCACAGGAGGTCTGCTCGGCTCAGAAACACTAAATACAAATCTGCTCCGGCTGCTGAGAAGAAAGTTTCCACCAAAGGAAAAGGGAGAAGACATATATTTAAATTGAAAAATGTAAGATATTTGTGGACAGTGCCTTTTACTGTAATGATGTTGTGTGTATCCTGCCACTGCCTTCATTTCCCGCCATTGAACTTGGACTCTGCCCTTGGTAGCCCTTCCTTAGTATTCTGGGGAGTGGTCCAGACTCCCCAAAAGGGAATGAGCTCTGTTGCAGGAGGCTCACTATTTTTAAAGGTAATAATACTCTTTCCTTTTTTTTTTTTTTTTTTAGCTTTTATTTTTTTCCCCTGGAAAATATAAAATATGAGTTTAAAAGAAACATCAGCCTTGAGCCCATTTTTTGGGGTTCTCTATGGAAAGGAAGAGGAGAGATTATGGTTCTTGATATGGCCAGGTACACTAAGAAAACTTTTTTTTCATTCTTTAAAAATTAAGTAAATATTAACACTAGAACTCATCATTTGCATATTTATTTATTATTAAAGCCCCAGAAAATGTATCTTATTGACTTATGATGATGATGTATTTGATGAATATGAGTCAAAAATTCTGCTAAGCCTTATCTCTTCTACTCTAAGAAAAGACATTGTTGAAAGACCTGTGCTGGAAATAATTGAAAGCTTATTTTTATTGCAATTAAATTATCAGTTTTTATAAACAAGGGATAATGTTCAAACACAATGGACAGTGCATTATGGACTATTTTTTTAAGTCTCAGTATGGTATTCTTTTCTTTCAGAACAGGAATGTTTCACTTACCCGTAAAGACATTTTTGAAGTTGGGCATATTTATTTCTAAAACACAAAGGGACCCTGCAGTAGACTTATGCAGATGGCAGACTATTTTCTTTTTTTTTTTTAATGTAATTTAATTTGATTAATTTTTTAAAATTTTACTTTAAATTCTGGGATACATGTGCAGAACGTGCAGGTTTGTTACATAGGTATACATGTGCCATGGTTTGCTGCACCTGTCAACCCATCATCTAGGTTTTAAGGCCCATGTGCATTAGATATTTGTCCTAATGCTCTCCCTCCCCTTGCCCCCCATCTCCGATGGGCTCCAGTGTGTGATGTTCCCTTCCCCAAAGTATTTTCTTTTTCAGAGTAGTTGCTTCTAATTTATTTAAGATTTTTATAATTTAGTTAAGCAAGGCATTTGTTGATTATGCAAAATATCTTATTGGTATTTGTATCACATATGCACATTTTTTTTCCTTTTAAGTATAGTATACCATGTTCTCAGCAATTAATTCATTATCGTTTGTCTGCAACCCTTTCTTCAATGTTACTAAGCAAGACACATCTGGGGAGGCCTACTTTCTATGTTGTGGCATAAAAGTATGTATTGAAGCTTTAGTAGGGATTTCAAAAATGGTTGGATGGTAGCAAATTACTAAGAACTGTCAAAGTTTCTAAAGCCTTAGTTCCAGCTTGCTAGAAAACCGACGTTGAGTATTATGGCTAAATAGTTGAGTTGGAAAATGTCTTCAAGGAGACACTTTTTCACTTTGTATTCATCTGTACATTTTTTATTACTTGCATTCTGTCATGCTCAGGCTATTAGAGCAGGTACATTTTTATAACTGGAATGTTTATGTGTAGTGAAGCTCTGAGAGGACTTTGCATTAGATTTCAGCAGCATAATCGAAGCTTGTTCTTTGTCTCAGCAATTTTTAAGCTAATAGTAGCAGAAACTGCCGTGGAAGTAGACTGCTTTGCCACAACATTCAGAAAATCATTTATCTTTTTATTGCAGTTCTTGTCACCAAACAGTACATTTTAGTATTTCTCAAATTACAGAACTCTCATAGGGCTGGGAAAATACCTGTACACACATACATACTATGAATGTGCTAACGTGTTTTGTATTTTCATAGCCCATCAAAGCTCCTGAGTCGGTTTCCACTATAATCACTGCAGAATCAATCTTCTACAAGGTAAGCTTTTGTAGAGTTACTGAAGGGAGAGTTGGGCCTAGTGGGTAATGTGCCACTAAAATGTTGGATTAGTCTAAAGGTCTCTCCTCTTTATTTGTTTAAGGTGTGGTTATACTTTTTGTTCCCTTCTTAACTGTTTTTCCCCATGAGTGACTGTTATTCTAACATCTCATCTAGAGCTGAAGTGGGAGGAGAAGGTGCCTACTGACATATGATATGAGGATCTTAAGTATTGTTTTTTAGTGTAGATTATAGGAAGTGTTCTTAGAGTGCTGATTGTATAGTGTGGAACCATGGAAGAGTGAGCCATTAGTGTGATGGCACTGAAGAACAAGAAGGACAGAGACAGGATTTGAACTAGTACAGGTTGTAGACTGTGGTGTCAGATGGGTAGAGTAGGCCCAGAGATTCTGAAATGCCTTTAAGTGGAGTTGAGCTGAGTAAGGGCAGTAGTGAGGATTAACACCTACTAGAAATCCATGGTGAGAGGAATTCCAAGATGTTTTGATAAAAGAATGAGGAGGTCAGGTTTCCTAGGGCCAAAGTCCATGGACATCTGATACCTCAGTGAGAGAAGTGACAGATTGTTGTGTTTAAACCAGAAGTCATGGCCGGGCGCGGTGGCTCAAGCCTGTAATCCCAGCACTTTGGGGGGCCGAGACGGGCGGATCACGAGGTCAGGAGATCGAGACCATCCTGGCTAGCACGGTGAAACCCCGTCTCTACTAAAAAAAAAAAATACAAAAAACTAGCCGGGCGAGGTGGCGGGCACCTGTAGTCCCAGCTACTCGGGAGGCTGAGGCAGGAGAATGGCGTAAACCCAGGAGGCGGAGCTTGCAGTGAGCTGAGATCCGGCCACTTCACTCCAGCCTGGGCCACAGAGCGAGACTCCGTCTCAAAAAAATAAATAAATAAATAAAAATAAAAATAAACCAGAAGTCTTAGGAAAGGAATTAGAACATAGACCCCCCACCAAGGCTCGGCAGGCCTGGCACGGCACAGGCAGCAACCAATGAAGGCTATTTGGTGCTTTGGGATCTGAACTATCATTTAGGGGACAGTGGTGTGAGTTAGTGCTTTATACTTGACCCAGGTGGACTGAGAAACTGAAGTGATTATGCCCTTAAGTATACTTTTTTTAAAGCTCGCAATCTATATAGTTGAAACTGTTCCTCCCCACAGGGTTACACTGGCATTCCTCAGCAGGGCTGGGAAAAACCAACAACAAAAGAAGTCTGTATACAGGCAAACATGTCTCTTGTTTTTCCAACATTTAATACATTGTTAATAAAATATCTAAAGTTTAGCAAACAGTTGCTATGTATCAGTGACTGAACATTTTGCATGCTTTATTTCATTCAGTTCACCCTATGAGGTGGATACTACTATCCCCATTTTCTGGATGAGAAGATTGAGGCGTAGCGAGGTTAATTAACTTGTCCAAGATCACATAGCCAACAAGTCATGGAGTGAGGCAGTCTCATACCAGAGCTTAAGCCTAGAGCATAGTTCCTGGCTCTATAGCTTTAAGCAAGTGACTAGCTATGCGACGAGGACCAACCTCTCTGATGTCTCATCTCTAAAATAGGAATTGTAAATAGTTTCTACCTCAGTGGGTCAAGTGAAATCATATGTGTTAAGCACTTAGCAGAGTAAGCACTCAATGAATGTAGGAGTTATCATATTTTCATATTTGTGCATTACCTTCACAATTTACAGATTAAGGCCAGAAGCAACTTGTTGAGCTACGGGTTTAGTGTGCTAATGATTTCCATGTGTGTTTCCATGGAAAGGCGTGTGGGACCTGTTATTGTGACTGACTGTACTTTCGTATTGTCCGCCACCCATGTTTATTAAGTGGTAAGGACAATAATCCTACAAAGTAGTCAAGCAATGTTGCAAATGCCCAGTATTGTGGGGGCTGTCACAGCAGTGCCACTGGCAAGCAGCACCATGGTGGCAAGTTCAAGAGGTCACTGCCAGCCACTGAGCTAGAGCCCAGATGAGGCATGCAAGAGGAGCCTGAGTGGGAGCCACTGGGGTCAACGGTCAAGAGTGTGACAACCCAAGACCCAGAATGGCTGAGTGGCCTCCTTGGAGCATGGCGGTGGCAGAACAACTCCATGAACTCAGGTCTGGTGATGCCTAAGCTAGTGCTGTTCTCTTGTGGATCCCTTTTCTCCACCAGAAACCTTGAATCCTCTCAGCAAATGAGACCACCAGTCAGATCAGTGACTTAGTCCTGTTTGTGTTATATATATGTACACAACACAGCACATATTAATAAATACCTACTATGTGCCAGGCACTGCCTACCACTGGAATCTTTCACTAAGACATTGTCTTTGCATTTCTGCCTTCACACTATGAAAGCATATGTTTTGGATTCATATTCATTCAGCATACATTTGAGTATGCTGTGATATGCATGATAAGCCTATGATAAGCAAGTATTCTCATTTAGAATTTGGGAATATTGATTATACATGTGGACAAAGCAAACCATAAATGCAAAGGATATGATAAATAACTTTGGACTAATGACTGGGAGGAAGGACCAGCTGTTGATGGGTAGGAACTAGCAAGTAACAGACTGGCCTGCATAGACCAGACCCATCCATAGTGACCCAGATGAAACAGCCACCGTCAGACACTTGGATAAAGGGTCCACCAGGAAAAAACTCCTGGCCTATCAGGTGCTATGTTACAGTTCCGTTACTGGAAGTATTTCCTCAGAAGTGTTTTTATGGTTGAGGTACACATTCCTGCAGGTTTACCTGCTGCCAAATCCCTGTTTGAAGGGAAGCAGCAATTAATTACACTGTTTCCATAGTCAAGGACAGTATATCCCACTGAGAAAACTACTCCCACTTAAGGAGGTGCTGGATGTCATAAAGATTTGGATCAACCATTATGGGTGTTTAGAAGAGAGATTATTTCCAGCTCAAGACCCAGGAAAGAGGACATAGGATGGATGCTAGAGTCATAGGGAAGATTTAACACAGGACATGTACACATTAGTTAGTTGGGTATAAAGTGGAACAGAAATGAATGAGACACAAAGCCTTGAATTCCAGAAGTACTAGTAGTTCTGTTGTGGAAGAATATAAAACTCAACTGGGAGTGGAAGAGAAAGGCAGCAGTGAGTCTAGGAGATGTACAATAGGTTGAGGTAAACATATCCTGAAGACTATAATCCAAAGATTATTTTTGGTTTGAATTTGTTTTGGTTTGAATTCATGGTATCTATTTTCTTTGAATGGATGGTTGGGGAGGGTGGCATGTAGAATGCATTCTTATTAAATCAGCATTGATTTTCAACACAGTACAGAGAAAGACTACTGAGCTGATGTAGGAGCTTCGGCTGCAGTCTCTATGACTTTTAGCAAGCTGTTTAACCTTACTACCACTTCATGACTGTGGCTAACAAAGTAGGGACAGTACGGAGCACAGAGGATTTTTAGGGCAGTGAAACTATTAATACTGTCTTTGTATGATACTGTAATGGTGGGTACATGTCATTATTCATTTGCCCAACCCCATAGAATACACAGCACCAAGAGTGAACCCTAATGTGAACTCTGGTCTTTGATGGTGCTGTGTCAGTGTAGGTTCATCTGTGTAACAAGTGTACCACTCCAGTGGTGGGTGGGGTTATTGATAATAGGGGAGGATGTGCATGTGTGGGGGCAGGCAGTCTATGGGAAATCTCTCTACTTCTGCTCAATTTTACTGTAAACTTAAAACCTCTGTAAAAAATAAAATCTATTTTTTAAAAAGTAGGGATAGTATTATAGCAATATAAAATCAAAGTACTTTATGAATAAATGTTTTCTTCAGATGTCAACTGTCATATATGCACCCTCGAATGTGTATGTATAATTTTCATTCAAAAGTGAAACAATTTTAGAATTGGCACCAAACATATAAACATTGATTGATACATTAGACTATCTTGAACACCTTTTATTGACCACTTTGAAAACTTGCTTACCTATTAAGGTTCATTCATAGCTGTGGTGTTCTATTTTTATTTTCAATGTGGGATTATCTTCTCTTTCACCCAGGGAGTATATTACCAAATTGGTGATGTTGTTTCTGTGATTGATGAACAAGATGGAAAGCCCTACTACGCTCAAATCAGAGGTTTTATCCAGGACCAGTATTGTGAGAAGAGTGCAGCACTGACGTGGCTCATTCCTACCCTCTCTAGCCCCAGAGACCAATTTGATCCCGCCTCCTATATCATAGGCAAGTTTGACAAATGGCACAGGTTCTTTAACTTAGTTAACTCTCCAATATTATGTAAAAAAGTGTGTTAGTCAGCTTGGGCTGTCAGGACAAAATATCACAGACTGAGTGGCTTAAACACCAGAAAGTCACTTTCTCACAGTTTTGGAGGCTGAAGTCCAACATCAAGGTTCTGGTAACATGGATTTCTGGGGAGGCTTTTCTTCCTGTCTTGTAAATAGCCACCTTCTTGCTGTGTCCTCACATGGCCTTTCATGGAGAGAGAGCTCTTTGGTGTCTGTTCTTATAAGGACACCATTTCTGTCAGATGAGGGCCCCACCCTTATGGTTTCATTTAACCTTAATTGCCTCCCTAAAGGTCTGATCTCCAAGTACCATCACATGGGGATTAGGGCTTCAACATACGAATTTGGAGGATGGGGGGGATGCAGTTCAGTCCATAAGAAAAAAGCATGAGTATAATTAAGTACAAAAAAATTAGAGCTTTATAGAAAATATGAGGCATTTTATGTAGCTGGAGTTTGAGTGCTATCAGTTATTTTGAGTTAGAGCAATGTGCATCTACTAAGAAGTGATACGGATAAGTTTTTTTTTAGAGTGACCCAGGGTTAAACTGTACTACAAGAATTTATTGCTCAGGAACTTGGTTATTTAGGTTACTTATTTATACAAACCTGTTCAAAAATAATTTAGAAAAGAACATCCCAGTTATCCCATACTTGCAAGTTCTCAGTATGCATACCTCTGCATGCTACACATGTCATCTTAGGCCTTTATAATATAAAGGCTGATAGTTGAAATGGCAGCTGCTGTGCTTTTGTTAATTTCAAAGCTGCCAAAACAGTTTTGACATAGACTCACGAGAATTTACTGATTAATACAATTTTAAATGTTTTCAGATTTTTAAAGTTACTTCAGACTTTTTAATCTTTCTGCAATGAGCATGCATCATTACTTTTGCATCCTGAGGACAAGCATAAATTGTTTTTGAAGAGAACTCCAGGGACAAATAATATACCACTGTTATTCTCACCTACATGTCAAGTTTGGTACATTACCAAACAGTTCTAGCCTTCTGCTTATAAGTACATAGAACTTTTATTTACCGTATCTATGGGTCAGGATCCCAGCAGAGGCAGTGATGTATCAGAATCACCTTCGGGATTCCTCTACTGCCTCCTCTTTCTAATCCTCAGATTCTGGTATGCATCCTTGTCCTACAGCGAGGCAGCATGGCATGAGGTCAGAACACCAGTTCTGGAGCCAGAGTGTCTGGGTTCATAGCCCGCCATTTACCAGCCATGTGACTTTGGCAAATTTCTTAGTTTCTCTTGCCTCACTTTCCTCATGTGTAAAATGGGAATAATAATAATGCCTACCTCAGAAGGTTGCTGTGAGGAATGAAGGTATTGATATGTGTAAACTTACAACAGTGTGGGCATAAAATAAACATGATGCAAGTGTTCAATCACTGTTTTTGGGAGAATTCCATATTCTTTAAGCCATTAAAGAAGAAAAAATGATTAAGAATAATTTCAAAGTACTGCATGTTTCAAGGGCTAATGCCAGGTTGCTCCCAGAGTGGTCTCTCCCAGTGTCTAGAAATTTTAACATCTTATGAAAATGATGTATATGGTCAAAAATGTATTTAACCTTTCCCTTGGCTGCCTTCCAGGGCCAGAGGAAGATCTTCCAAGGAAGATGGAATACTTGGAATTTGTTTGTCATGCACCTTCTGAGTATTTCAAGTCACGGTCATCACCATTTCCCACAGTTCCCACCAGACCAGAGAAGGGCTACATATGGACTCATGTTGGGCCTACTCCTGCAATAACAATTAAGGAAACAGTTGCCAACCATTTGTAGTTCACAAATTAAAACTGGATTTCCAGGCCTGGTGTGGTGGCTCATGCCTGTAGTCCCAGCTGTTGCACCACTGCTCTCCAGGCTGGGCAATGGAGTGAGATTCTGTCTCTTAAAAATATCACAAAAAAACTGGATTTCCAGTTCTCTGATCTTCTTAGTACCACAGAATATGTCATAGGTATCTTTAAATGAAATTCTTAGCTGGAAAAATGACTCAAAAGTTTTTTTTCTACTACCTAGTAATCATTAGATTATTTATTACTGGTTACTTAGAAAATTAAAAGGGTTAGGGCCAGGCACAGTGGCTTATGCCTGTAATCCCAGCACTTTGGGATGCTGAGGCAGGCAGATCACCTGAGGTCGGGAAGTGGATTGCCTGAGGTCAGGAGTTCGAGACCAGCCTGGCCAACATGGCGAAACCCCGTCTCTACTAAAAATACAAAAATTAGCCAGATATGGTGACATTTGCCTGTAATCCCAGATCTTTGGGAGGCTGAGGCAGGAGAATCACCTAAACCCAGGAGGCGGAGGTTGCAATGAGCCAAGATTGTGCTGCTGTGCTCCAGCCTGGGCAACAGAGTGAGACTCTGTCTTGGAAAAAAAAAAAAAATGGCTGGGCACAGTGGCTCACGCCTTTAATCCCAGCACTTTGGGAGGCTGAGGCAGACGGATCGCCTGAGGTTGGGAGTTCAAGACCAACCTGGCCAGCATGGTGAAACCCTGTCTCTACTAAAAATATAAAAATTAGCCAGGCATGGTGGTGCACACCTGTAGTCCCAGCTACTTGGGAGGCTGAGGCAGGAGACTTGGTTGAACCCAGGAGGTGGAGGTTGCAATGAGCTGAGATTGTGCCACTGCACTGCAGCCTGGGTGACAGAGCAAGACTCCATCTCAAAAAAACAAAAAATTAAAAGGGATAGAATGTAATGAAATATGTTTTGAACTTAAATGATATTCTATATGTGTATCTTCCTAGGCAAAAGCTGTAATTTCCAGAGAGACCATTAGGAACAGGTAGTATCTATTTTTCTCCATTATTTATTTCTAGAAACTCATAAAATGGACATTTTATATTTTTCTATAAGAACAAAAAATTAAGGTATAGATGACTGACCAAGGGCTTAATCAAATAAAATGACTAACAGTATCTATCATAAAGCCACACAAGCCTTATGTTCTCATCTCAAAAATGCTGTGACAGCTTTTTGGCTGCTTTAACCATAAGAAAAATGATTGGTGGATGATTTTACTAGCCCAGGCTTTTAAAAACTTTCATCTAGGCCAGGCGCAGTGGCTCACACCTGTAATCCCAGCACTTTGGGAGGCCTGAGTGGATGGATCACTTGAGGTCAGGAGTTCAGGACCAACCCGGCCAACATGATGAAACCCTGTCTCTACTAAAAATAGAAAAATTAGTTGAGTGTTATGGTGCAGGCCTGTAATCCCAGCTACTCGGGAGGCTGAGGCAGGAGAATTGCTTGAACTCGGGAGGTGGAGGTTGCGGTAAGCCAAGATTGCGCCACTGCACTCCAGCCTGTGTGATAGCGCAAGACTGTCTCCAAAAAAAAAAAAAAGAAAGAAAAACTTTCATTTAATCCTTCTGTAGCAAACAGGCATTCAGAACCATTCCATTGATCTTAATAAAGCTGCTCTTTACTGTTTCTAGTCAAAAACAAGACTTCCAATCAAACCATAAGATTTTATACTGCAGATAGTCAGCTTCACCAAAGCCACAGAGGAAACATGTTGAGATCAGGCATCCCGCTTGATAGTTTCTTGACTACCATTAAAATGAAGGTTGGGAAGTCATGAAAGTCACTGGTAGGCCATTAGCATTGATATCTTTAAAACGTCTACCCTAAACCATCTGCTGTGGACCCGTAATAAGAGGCCTGTTGTATATGAAATTGTCTAGAATTCAGGTGCAGGTCTTTGCCAGTTAAGTAAGGGAGCAACATGTAAAATGGGGGAGGAGTAGGTGCACTTACTTGCCTCCACTTCTGTCCTGATTTAACCAGCATTTTTCAACCCTGGGAAAATTTGCAGAATCTAAGTTGATTGTAATGATTTTGAACTGCAGTGGCTTTAACTCTTACCCTTTTCCCACATAGTTACGGTTTGTGAGTTGGAAAGAAACAACTGTAGGTAGCTACACATACATAATGATCTCTTTATTCACAAAGGTTATAGTAAAATTGTAAATGACTTTCTAAGTGCTAATATTCAAAACTTTTGGATTAAAATGTATTTTTCACAATGTATTTACTTTGGATGTATTTATTTCATTTAAACAATTTAAATGGGGCTATTTAACCAAAAATGGTATTTAAAACCAAAACAGTATAGTACTTAGAATTTGGAGTAGAGACCAGGTGCAGTGGCTCACGCTTGTAATCCCAGCACTTTGGAAGGCCGAGGCAGGAGGATCGCCTGAGGTCAGGAGCTTGAGACCAGCGTGGTCAACATGGTGAAACCCCGTCTCTACTAAGAATACAAAAATTAGCCAGGCATGGTGGTGTGCACCTATAATCCCAGCTAGTCTGCTCCAGAGACTGAGGCAGGAGAATCACTGGAACTCGGGAGGCAGAGGCTGCAGTGAGCTGAGATCGTGCCACTGCACTCCAGCCTGGGTGACAGGGCATGAATCCATCTAAAAAAAAAAAAAAAGAATTTGGAGTAGATAGATTCATCATTAATAAGTAATAGATTTTGGGAAAATCCAGAAATGGCTAATAAAATGAACACAATGTAAAATATTAAAATGTAGACTTTTAAAAATCTATAAATTGACCATCTGTTTATAAATTGGTAGATGGTTGTGTACCATCTTTTAAAATAAAGATGGAATTTCACCCAGTGCGATGGTTCCCGTTGCTTACATTTCTCTGCTGAGGCCAAACCTGATATGGCCCTGGTCTGTGTTCCCAGCCCTGTCTCCGCATTACCACTAAAATGTTTCCCCCGTATACCCGCCTAATTTTTCTGGCTCTGAGCCCTTGTTCGTACTGTTCTGTCCAATTCTACCTTCCAAAGACCTTTCTTAATGCCTTCAGATTCTTTCTTTGAGACCTTGTCAGATTCCCATGGCTTTTTGAAATCAATCTCTATCCTATTGTCATCACATTTAAATTTCTACTTCCATCATCATTCCTATCCCTTTGTTCCTTGTAGGGCGGGAATGCTGTGTTTTATTTACTCATCTCTAACTTCCACATAACCTAACCCAGGTTCTTGCTTATGGGAGATGCTGAGTGTAGGGTCTGAATTAGATACTGTTAACTAAAATGCTTGTTGATATTTTAGTTATTAATTCATATTAACTTTGGCTGAAACTTTTAAATTGTGAATAGTCAAGTAAAACTTAGATTGTTATATTCTGGGTTAGTATTAGATTGTTTTTAAGATGAGTTTTAAATAGTTCTCTTAAGACAAATAAAGCTTAACATGAGCATTTGAAAGAAATTATCCCAAACCATTCCAGTTCCCGGCTGTGAAAGACTTTTCCAGGCCTAATAAGTTTTCCATTTCAGTCATAAGTAGGTGAAATCAAATGAACAATAGAGGGAAATGTATTTATTTGCTTTATACACATGCATGTGTGTTGTGTCTACATCTAAACAATGCACAAGCTTAGAATGAAGTTTCTGTCATGCCCAGAAAAGGGAGAGGCATTTTTGTGGATTTTGTCTGGCTGCCCTGGACATGTTTGAAGAACTGTGCTGTTTACTTCATACCAAGTGTGTGAGCCATACCTTTGGTAGAAGGGTGTACCTCCTACACCCAAGAAACATAAGCCAGGAGGAGGTCTGTGCCAAGGAGAAGGAACCCAAATGACCCACAAGAGGTGGGCCATTAATTATTGGGTCAGATGCACAAATGCACGGTAATTTATTTAAACACATCTTAATGGTGACCCACGAGGAAGATTGCTAGTAATAACAGAAAGGTTCACAATAAATAAGAGAAAAAAAGACAGAATGTAGAACTGTATGACAGCAATTCTGCAAACAAGAAGCATCTTTTATAAAAGATAGAAGGAGCCCAGGCACAGTAGCTCATGCTTGTAATCCCAGCACTTTAGGAGACTGAGGTGGAGGATCACTTGAGCTGCAGTGACCCATGATCATGCCACCACTCCAGCTTGGGTGATAGAAGTGAGACCTTGTCTCAAAACAAAACAAAACAAAGAAATGCCTCCAGAATTTTAACATGTCAACAGAGGTTTTCTACAGCTACTCTTTTCAGCTTTATACTTTGCAGTATTTTCCAAATTTTCTCTAACATGCAGTATTTTCCAAATTTTTTACAATAAGCACACACACACACACACACACACGTTTGTTTGCATACTGCCCAACTGGTGGTGAACAACCATTGGCTTTTAGTATATACATATCTGGAATATTTTATAAATAGTAGTTCTTAAACCCTTGAAAGGGAGATGAATGGCCAGCTGAGGAAATAAAGTCAGTGATTTCGTTATTTTCCTATATTCACATCATGATTCTAGGGAAGAACTCGGGAGTGACTTCCTTCAGCTTCAGCCACTCCTGGGCCAGGCGCATGCTTAGCTGTGTGGTAAAGGTCACCAGCGTCTTCTGCCTAGTGCCTGTGTCATCTGAATTGGAGGTTTGGCGAGGGTAAGAGACTAATGTAGCTTCAAGTTTTTCTTTCCTGTCCTCCACTTGAAATCTGTCTTCCCTTCCAGACTGCCTGCCCTGCTGACTTAAGGCCCCGACACCAAACACAGAAGCAACAGCTTTGCACAGAGCGTTCAGCAAGCTCCCACAATTGTATAAGGTAAAGTTGCCTTTATAGATTCCTTATTCTGTATCGCTCCTAAGTGGTTCTGTTTCTCTAATCAAATTCTGACTGATAACAGTTGCTGAGACTCTGAAAGAAAAGGCAAGGAACTACTGTTTCTCATTATAAACTATTTAGAATTATTTGGCTATCTTCTTTTTGCTATGAAAATGTAGTATTTTGATACATTGTTTAAAAAGTAATGAAAGAGATCACATAGGGAAAGATAGATTGCATTATTTTAAAGTTTATATACTAAATTGAAAAGCAAAGAATAAAACGGGAGAAACAGCTCCCACATGTGGCTGTTGGCAGGAAGCTTCCATTCCTCTCTATGGGCCTCCACAGGTTTGCTCACAGCAAATGATTCGTGACAGAAAGACGCAAGTGCAGTTGTACCCAAGATGGAAGCCACCATCTTTTCTATAACCTAATCTGAAAGAAGGGACATACCAGCACTTCTGCCATATGCTGTTGGGTCACACAGACCAACCCTGGTATGGTGTGAGCACAGGACCACACAAGGGTGTGAACTCCAAGGGCAGAGACCACTAGGGACCATCTCAGAGGCACAGAGGGACACCCTATCCAGCTGGTGGCCCATGTAAATTAACATAGCTTTTTAGAATAGCAATATGTATCAATACTCTTAAAAGTATTTATACTTCTTGATCTAGTAATTTCATTTCTAAGAATCCATGCTAAGAGGATTTAAAATGTGGACCAAAAAATGAGTATAAAAAGAGGTTGTTTCCAGTATTTAAAGTTGTGAGAAACCAGAAACAATCTAAAGGTCCAACAATAGGAAAATGAATTTTGATATTTTTCTAATAGAATTTTGTGCAGTCATCAGAAATACCATTTACAAATAATTTTTAATAATGCAAAAAAAGTTTATAAAATGGTTAGTGTAAAACCTGGACACAACTACATAATGATTCTGATTTTGTAAAAAAAAAAAAACACACACTCACATATACACATGCATACATATACATATAAAGAAAACTGGAACAAACAAAATGTCAACAACAAGCATAGTTGGAATTATAGTCATTTTAATATTCTTTATGTTTTTAAAAATTTTGAAGTTTGTGTTACTAGCATCCGTTACTTATATAATCAGAAAAAAAATACAACTTTAAAATATTTATTTAGGTCCAAAGATGGTAATCTAAATGGTGTTACAGGCTGAATGTGTGCCTGATCACCATGCCCCAAGTTCATATGTTAAATCCCTGGCCCCCAAGGCAATGGTATTAGGGGAGTACGGTGTTTGGGAGGTAATCAGATTTCGATGAAGTCATGAGGGTGGAGCCCCCATAGTGGAATTAGTGTCCTGTTAGGAAGAGGAAAACAGACCAAAGCCTTCCTTTCTCTCCTCACTATGTAAGAAGATAGCCAGAAGGTGGCCACAGCGAGGAAGAGAGCTCTCACCAGAACCCAAATCTGCCAGCACCTTGGTCTTGGGTTCTCAGCATCTAGAACTGTGAGAAATGAATGTGTGTTGTTTAAACCACTCAGGCTACGGTATTTTGTCACAGCAGCCCGAGCTGACAGAGATGGATAGAAACAACACAAGGACCCATCAGCAGACGAGTGGATGATCAAAACGTGGTGAGGTCATGCAGTGGGATATTATTCAGCCATAGAAAAAATGAAATTCTGATACATTCTATAAGGGTGAACCTTGAAAACATGCTAAGGGAAATAAGCCAAACTTAAAAAGACAAATATTATATAATTCCACTTATATGAGTTAGTTACCTAGAATAGGCAAATTATGTCATAGCGACAGAACATTAGAGGTTACCAGGGTTGAGGGAAGAGGGGTGTTGTGGGTACAAAGTTTCTGTTTGGAGTGATTTTGAAAAAATCCTGGAAATAGGTAGTGAGAGTAGTTAACATGATGAATGTACTTAATGACACTAAATTGTACACTTAAAAATGGTTAATGCTGGCCTGACGCAGTGGCTCACGCCTGTAATCCCAGAACTTTGGGAGGTCAAGGCGGGTGGATCATGAGGTCAGGAGATTGAGACCATTCTGGCTAACACAGTGAAACCCTGTCTCTACTAAAAAATACAAAAAAAAAAAAAAAAAAAAAAAAAAAAAAGAAATAGCTGGGTGTGGTGGCGGGTGCCTGTAGTCCCAGCTACTTGGGAGGCTGAGGCAGGAGAATGGTATGAACCCGGGAGGCAGAGCTTGCAGTGAGCTGAGATCGCGCCACTGCGCTCCAGCCTGGGCAACAGAGTGAGAATCCGACTCAAAAACAAAACAAAAAAAAGGTTAATGCCTGGGTGTGGTGGCTCACGCCTGTAATCCCAGCTCTTTGGGAGGCCAAGGCAAGTGGATCAGTTGAGGTCAGGAGTTAAAAAGACCAGCCTGGCCAACATGGCAAAACCCCATCTCTAGTAAAAATACAAAAATTAGTTGAGTGTGGTGGTGGGTGACTGTA